CCCCCCACCTGCCCACACACAGGATGCAGCAGTTAGAAGAGGAGAACGGAGAGATGACGGTGAACGTGTGCAGACTCAAGTCTCAGTCAGAGAAACTGGACCAGGTGAGTCCAAAACATGATTCACTTTTATACAGCAAACACTTGGTTTTTATTTAGCTGACAAATAAGAAGATGAGTTCTAATCTTTTTTTAAATTGTCCAAATGTTTGTGTGAAAAACTAAAACTATGTTAATATATCAGAGACACAGACAGAGACAAAGAATCTCACATTTTTATAAATACTTTTCCATATTTCTATGGGACAACACTGAAGATGTGACATTTAGATCCAGTGTAAAATAGTCAGAATACATACATTATTCATTATAACACTGGCCCACTCACATTTCATGTAAATAACTGTTGCTGCATCCATGTAGGTACTTTGGTCAGGGTTAAAAGTATTTTTGTCCCCCATCACCGAGKTGGGGGACTGTCCATCWGTTATTATTTCAGAAAGCTGTAACTTTCACATAGAAAGRCTTAAATACAGCAGCAGGGGCGCTGCAGCAGGCACAAAGCTGAGGTTGTTTTTTTTATACTTTTCTAATCTGATAAATAAATAAATATATTTACTCTGTAATATTTGAATGCAAAGAAAAGGTTTAAGGAGGTTAGATATTTAATATATTTTATGATATAAATTCTGCTTTTTTTATTTGGTGTTTTTATTTCCAGCTTTGGACATTTCTAGTAACATCAGCAGCAATAAGAAAAAAATGTTTTTGAAATAATTAGAAGAAGTGGCTTTTAAGCTGATGTTTTGTTTGATGTACATCTTTACATTAAAGATGTACAGTTGACTTTTTTGTTGAAACGACGAGGTTTTCTGTGGGGACAGTTCATGTCAGTGTAAAGATACAGAACACATTAAGACCGGGCTGTTGAAGAACTCCAGATGTTTTCTGYTCTGCTCTCTGCTCATCATCGAATCATTAATGTCTGTAAAATAACAAACTGACCCAAATCAAGTGGTGCAACTTTAACTCTCATGTTGACAAAGTGTTGGAATGATGATTTTGTAACAACAGCACAACCATGTGTTGGTCTCCGTCCTGCAGGAGAAGCAGAAGATGACGGACCAGCTGGAGGACACCAGTCTGAGGCTGAAGGATGAGATGGACCTGTACAGAACTATAATGGACAAGCTGTGGCACAACCGCCATGAGTTCCAGAAGGAAAAAACCTCCATGCAGGAGGTGACTCTATCTGACCCAGAACATGAACTTTACATTTATATTTTAASAAACATTYATTTCATTTCTATTTATATTMCAGCTGATTGATGACCTCAGRCGGGAGGTGGACTATCTGCAGCTGTTCAAGCTGGAAATGGAGCATCCTGGGAAAGGCAAGAGTCTGTCTGAGTTCAACGCCAAAACCAAGGAGATGGAAATGGAGCATGAAGTCAGGAGACTGAAACAGGTCGATACACWAAACATACCTGAGCAATGAGGAGTCCTGCAGACAGTCAGAGGAGATGTTTTTAGCTTTTCTCTCTCGTTTGTTTCTGTTCATCAAACAGCAAACAAAACAAAAAAGAATATTAAAACAAAAATGTTTAATTACACATTCTGCCACTAGGTGGCGAGAACGTCTACATCAGGGGTCACCAAACTTTTTGAGACTGGGAGCTACTTTTGGGGTACCGAGTAACACGAAGGG